ACAGACAGACACACGGACCTCCAATCACTGGTACAAAGCCCTTCTTTAATAGCACCATGGAGGCTTAAATACCCAGCAGTCAATGGCCAACAGGTGAAAATCCCAGCTTCTGACCCTCTAGGCAAAGCACAGCTTTTAGTAACTTCGATCAGAAGGCTCTAGCAGGGAAGAGCAGCTGAAGGCCAGGACTCAGTTGGTCCCAACATGTAGTACTCCACGGCAGGGACCTTCTTACCCAAACCTTGTTTTCCATAAATGTGCTTGGGGCCACAATTCCTTCACATTCCTGGTTTAAAATAGATGTGAGTCTGTCCAAAAACAGCCTGAGAATGTTTGTCTTCACTTACATACATGCAGGCAAAACACTCATACATATAAAAAAAAATCATTTTAAAAAAGATATCTCTTTCTCCATCTTCTTTTTATAAACTCCACTGTCGGTTCTTTTTATAAATTGCCTTTACTTCACATCTAAGCCTCCCCATTCCAATATTAAATAAATATCTAGTTGTATCTTTTCTTAGTCTCTTTAGAGTTCAGTTTTTACTTTTAAAACTCATTTGTTTTGATGTCAGCTAAGGAATATAGCTCTTCTTTTTAAAGAATTTATTCTGTATGCATGACATTTATGCAGTGCCCTCGAAGGCCAAAAAAGGCATCAGGTCCCCTGGGCCTGGAGTTACAATTGAGAGGCAAATGTGGATGTTAAGGGTTGAACCTGAGTTTTCTGGGAGAACAAACAGTGCTCTTGGTTGCTGAGCCGCCATCCAGCCCGAGTCTAGCTTTTCCCCTTCCAGATAGCCAGAGCTGAGTTCTCTCAGCATCATTAATTGGATGAGTCAGTGTTTACCGATCTTCACAATTCTGCTCTCCTGCTATCAGTTCCCTCTTATGTAATACCTCAGCACATCTCTACTGCTCTGAACGTGGACATCTATAATTCTTAGAAAGTTAACATTTGGCTGTCTGCGTGGCATCATCTGGTTCATCAGGGTCTTAGTTAAAGAAGTCTTACCACCTTCTCCTGTGCTCCAGATTGTGGGGTTATTTCTTATAAGGTTTGTTTTGAATTATGTGTGTGTATATCTGCATGTTGGTTTATGTGCTTGAGTGTAGTACCTGAGATGTCCAGAAGAGGGCGTGGGATCCTCCAGAGCTGGTGCTACAGGCAGTCTTGAGCCACCTGACAAGCTTGCAGGGAACCAAGTATCCTGCAAACGCAATGTAGACTCTTAACCACTGAGCAATCTCTCCAGTCTGTTGTGTGTTTATTTGTACATTTTGTTTTGTTTCACTTGAGATTAATAAAAATAAATAACGGGAAAGGGGAAAATCCAAAGTGCTTTGCTTGTCCTTATAGATACAAAGTATCTTGAAGATGAGAGAGATTGTTTAGATTACTAAAGAGTGGTGATTCCTTCTTCTCAGCCCAGCACTTACTGGCCATGAGTACAATGGTTAGGGCATGAACACGAAGGTGAAGTCATGGTAAAGTCTTGATCGTAGTGGGCATAAGAAACCTCAGTAGAAAAGGGAATCTCTGGGCTGGAATTGGTGTCAAAGGTAACATAAAAAAAAATGACTAATTTCCCACCCAAACAAAGCAAAGGACAGCCATTTGGCATGTCACCAGCTACTCTCTCCAATGTTCTGGTGATTTACTTCTTTGTGCAGCATGTCCAAGAAAGTCTGTCACCAACCCCTCTCCTGTCACTGAAAAGAAACCACCCAACAAGGGAGAAAGTCACTTAGTTGTTTTTCGTTGCAGCCCCTCTCAGCCCAGGGCTGTGGATGAGGCTGCCTCTTTCCCTTTATCTGCCTGTGCTCTAATCCAGCATCCTTACGGTCGGCTTCAGCACACAGTAGCACAGAGTTTTCTGCCCACATTGACACTTGTCTCTTGAGCAGATTGTCCTCCACACCATGGCCAGGATGGTCTTTTAAAAAGTCCTGTGTTTGGACTGGCAAGATGACTCAGCAGCAAGTAAAGTTACTTGTCCCTAAGCCTGGTGACCTATGTGTGGTCCCTGGGATCCACAAAGTAGAGACTCCCACTGCTTGTCCTCTGACCCCCTCCTGACCCTCCCTGCCATGTGCACTTATGCATCATAAATAAATAAATATGTAAACACACACATGTATGTATGTATATGTGTTTTTGCATACATATATACATGTGTACATACATATATACTTCAAAGTGGCCCCGCTCAGTTGTCATCGTGTTTTCCCTCATCCTTGCCTGCCCCCAACCTGCTGTCCTTCCCACCGTGAGAACTGACAGGAATAAACGCCTCCCACGGTCACAGAGGTCATTTACCCTGCCAGGATCACATAAGCCCTTCCCTGCCCTCAGACGAGGACATAGTCCATGCTCTTGTGCGGTATTAGTCAGCAGCGCGGAATCATTTCTTATGTCGTTTTTGATTGGAGTCTGTTTCCGCCACTGTGCCGACAACCCCAGCTGTGCAGTAGCCACCATTTGTCTCTTACTGCGTTGCTAACGAAGGAGATGCCGTGCAAAGACTCGCTGGGTGACCACTCTGGCTTATAGCCTACCCGAGATAGAAGGCAAGGTTTCACTTAAAAAAAAAAAAAAGTGTTTTAAGAGAAAGAGCAGTGGTCCCAGTTTTGTTTGTTTGTGTGTTTGGGCGTGTGTGTGTGTGTGTGTGTGTGTGTGTGTGTATTTCAGGTTCCCACAGAAGCCAGAAGAGGGCATTAGACAGCTTGAGGCTGGAGTTGCAGGTGGCTCACAGACTCCTAATGTAGGTGCTAGGAACAGAACTCAGGTCCTCTGTGAGAGCAACAAGTGCCCTTAACCGTGAGCCATAGCTCCATGCCCCCCCAATCTATTTTGATTTTCATCTACATATTAATACTAATCATATTCATAAACTCTCTCTCCTTCAGTAGGGTGTTATCTTCTGCCTTGAAAGCAGCCTTCCATTTGTCTCACGTAGAACCTACATAGAATAACCATCTTAAACTATGGTAGGATATATCAATATGTATTTTGCATAATTTTATAGCTATTGCATTTTATATATATATATATATATATATAGCTCAATATGTTTGTAGGCTTACTTATTATATGTTATTTTCTCATTTGAGAAGCGTGTAACCACAAAATACACTTTGGAAAGGAAAGTTCATAGGTTATACCACTAATATCAGTTAGTGTGTGTTACCTTTTAACCTCCCCCTGCCTCCGTGCTAGGATTCAACCCCAGGTCTCATTTGTGCTAAGCAAGAATGCTACCAATGAGCTACATTCTCAGGCCTCTTTTTGGTCTTTTTGTGTTAACTTTTTATACTGCCATAATCAAACTGTATATTAAAGAATTTGTATTCTCTTTTCTCCCACCCATGTCTAACTGGCGGTTGACCAAAGCGCACACTGCCTGGGAGATGAACCTTCTTCATTCTGCCCAATGCAATGAGCACTTAGGAAAGGACACACTGTTGGGCTCCACTGTTTGTGCCTCCCACCACACAGAACAAAAACAAATCTGATTCCTTGACAGTATTTTAACAGAATAACGCTCCCAGCCCTGCCCAGGTGTGTTTCTTGTAGTGTCTCCTCTCCTGGGAGACAGAGCAAAACTTGTCTCTCCACTTCCTCGCTGTTTTCTCTGTTCATTCAGTAGTAAAATAATCATTTACTACATCCTGGAGTTGCGGCAATGGAGGTCTCTGTCATCTGATGGGAGAGCACAGGCCACACCTCCTAAAGGATGGATGAGTGAGTGAAGGAATGAATTGGGTGATAGTTGGATTTTTTAGAGGGGTGAGTGAGGTCGTAGAGGAAGAGGTGCTCTTCTGCAGGATCAGGACAGCATCCGGAGTGTCACAACGGAGCAGATTCCTAAAGGGAGCAGGGGGGAGCCGTGGGGGCTGTTGGGGGAGGGTTTGTTCCTGGCGGGGTGGGGTGGAGTCATCAGGCACTGTGTTAGTTATGTTTCGTTTTGCTGTGGAAAACACCGCGATTGCATTTAATTGGGCTTATTAGAGGGTTAGCGTCCATGGTGATGACAAAGACATGGCAGCAGGAATTCTCCAAGAGTGGAGAATTCACAGCTTGATCCGAAAGTAGAAGACAGCCAAACAAGTCTGGAATTGTGCCAGTCTTTCCAAACCTCGAAGCCCACCCTAGTGACACACCTCCTCCAACAAGGCCACACTTCCTTGTCCTTCCCAAACAGTTCCAGCAACAAGGGACCAAGTGTTTAGACATGAGCATATAGGGGCCATTCTCATTCAAACCACCACGGAGACCAAAGCCCCGTGGTTATTAGACTGTGCTTTGTGACTCAAGTAGTGAAGAGCTGGGGTGAGGGGTAACTGGGACCACAGTGGTCAGGGGTGGGTGGTGACCTTGCTAGCCCAGTGAGGTCGCTGGTCTTTCCTGAGAAAGATGAGAGACAGTGGCTAGTGACCAGCCTGCCCTGGCCTGCTGCATTCTCTATTTTCTGTGCCCCTCCTCTGAGGCTCAGTAGTTTTGTCTTGGTCACCCCCAGGAGGAGTAACCTTGTTCTGGAGTTTGAAGACACATCTTTCCCACACATCAATGTCAGTGAGCTTCTCCCGGTACTGTCACACAGTGAGATCATACAACCTGTGTTCCAAGGAGCCAGGACATTCCAAACATTTAAAAAACGATATAACTTTGATGTATTCTTTATCTGTTACTCATTTGAGGAAATCGTTCTCTGAAAACAGTGACCAAATATATTTTTCAAACTGCATACAATACTTCATCTAAAATGGCATCCTGTCGATCTGTGGGTATTAAACAATCTAGCAGCCAGCTTTGTATTTTATCTTTTATTTCTGGTTGGTTTGGAGGGGAGACTAATTATAATCTTCCTTGAATTGCTTTGTGGTCAGGTCTGTCGCATGCTAAAGACAGATCCCATTAGCAGGCTTTAAACACTTCTGAAAGAATTAGCTGTTACGGGTACTCAATAGTGATTGATTTCTTTGTTCTCTTTCTATAGGAAGAAAAACCACAGCTTTTCCAGGCTGGGAGGAAAAATATGGAATGTGCTGTACCACTGACTGAACACAACCCAATGAACTGTACTGCCCGTAGTTCCGAAACCAGCAGCTAACAGTTTCTTCAGACTTCAGCACCATCCAGCACTTTCCAGACCAGACTCGCTGTTTGCAAGAACTCTTGGCCTCCCGAAGTTAGCAACCTCAGACTTTGTTTATTTAAAATATTTCTGCACAAGAAAAGTACCCCAGAGCCCATTCTACAAAATGGCCATGGATGGGTATCTGTGGATGGTCATTTTGGGTTTTATTATTGCTTTCATCCTGGCCTTTTCAGTTGGTGCCAATGACGTTGCCAACTCCTTCGGAACCGCAGTGGGCTCTGGCGTGGTGACCTTGAGACAGGCATGCATTCTGGCTTCGATATTTGAAACCACTGGCTCTGTGCTCCTGGGAGCGAAAGTAGGGGAGACTATCCGGAAGGGCATCATCGACGTGAACCTCTACAATGACACTGTGGAGACCCTCATGGCTGGGGAAGTGAGTGCAATGGTTGGTGAGTAGCTCTGCCCTCCGCTCCCTCTGTCCCATGGCTGTTCCTATAAGGGGGGGGGGGGGTCCTACGTTTTTAACTGTTGGGAAGCTGGTTTAAATCTGTGCTTACGATACAGTTTTCATTGCCTGTGCTCTATGGTTTTTACAAGCAAGCATCCATTTTCCTCAAACTTTTAGCCATTTAAACATATACTTGAGCCTCTGGATACCACGTGTAGAATATTGCTTTGTTGTTTTAGGGAAAGAACATATATTTATATACATATCGGCATATAAAATCAATGACTGTGTTTTAAATCTTACCTATAACCAACCTTGAAAGTTGATTTATATTCTTATAATGATTTTCATTGTGTATGATGGAATGTTTCAAAAATGTAGATATAATAAAAAAAAATATTTAGGAGTTTGAGTGTGCCTCTGGACTAAGACCGCTTGCCTGGCATGCATGAGGCTCTGAGAACAACCCTCAGAACTATGGTAGAATACTTGGGGACAGTATACTATGGCAGGATCTGTCCTTAGCATGCTCAAGGCCCTGGCCATCTCTGGTACCAAGAAAAGAAAAAGATTGATTAATTTAAATTTTGTTGTTTCAGTTTACAATTTAACCTGTAGTTTCCTAATAGCCAAGTAAAATTGAGATATTTTTTTTAGGTCATTAAGGCAGTGTTTCTCAACCTGTGGGTCGCGACCATCTGAAGGTCATATGACCCTTTCATAGGATTGCCTAAGACCATCAAAAAAAAAAACCACCCAGATATTTGCATTATGATTTTATAACTGCAGCAAAAATTAGTTATGAAGTAGCAGTGAAAGTAATTTTATGGTTGGGGGTCACCACAACATGAGGAACTGTATTAAAGGGTCGCAGTGTTTGGAGGGTTGAGAAAGGTGTCGTGAGAAAGGGCTATTGAAACTACGGGGGGAATAGAGAAACACTGACAGGTTCAGTCCTACGTGGAGCCCCGCTCCGACAGAACCTTCTCCGGTAGTCTCGGCACCTAGGCGAAGCCATGTGCGCCTGCGCACTGAGAACTCCCTGTGGCGGCCTTGGAGGAGCTGAGCAGTTTGTCCCCACTGTGGTCTCGGAAGCGGCGTAGCTTGTCCACTTTTCACTTTTCCCACCCGCGGCCTTTGGCTCCTTATTCAAAGAGTAAAGGATTGTTTTTTTTCTTAACCTCAACTAGAATTTGGGTTTACCAAGGCAATTTGAGGGTTTGTCTGAATAGCACGATTGTTTTGGTTTCTCTCTTCTCTGGGTTTGTTCGGGGGTGGTGGTTGCTTCTGCTGTTTCCTTTCTGGTTTGTGGTTAGATGAACTGGAGAGCTCCTTGGGTTGGGAGTTTGTATGACCTGATTTTAAAGACTGAATTCCTTGCGAGCCGGAGCCATCCGAACGTAACAAAACAAGGTTGTCGGGCCGTGGTGGCGCACACCTTTAATCCCAGCACCTGGGAGGCAGAGGCAGGTGGATCTCTGTGAGCTCGAGGCCAGCCTGGTCTACAAGAGCTAGTTCCAGGACAGTCACCAAAGCAACACAGAGAAATCCTGTCTTGAAAAACCAAAATAATAATAATAATAAAAACATGACAAGGTCTCTGTTACTAACCAAGTCTGTTGAGAACCCCAAATCCTCGCTGTCTGCGCTCCTCCTCAGCTTTTCTCTTCTTCCTCTCCTGCTCTGTCTTTTCATTCTTCTCAGTCGGTGTCACTCTGTTCTATTTTGACTGGTCCCCGTACCTGGGCCTCTGTGCTGCCTAAAAGCCTGGTGTCAGAGGTAAGTGGGTTGAGTAAAAGAAGCTCCTCCCAATGTCACCTAAACTTCCAGAACAATCTATCTTTTGAGACCTTTTGCTTAGCCCTGTAGAAAATGAACCCACTTCATATAAAGTCAGCAATGCTTCCAAAAACCTGAGAATTCAGATCTGGGCATCCACTCATAAAGATTCTACACAATGACAGGACAAACCATTTCTTCAAGCCACGACAAGAAATGCACAAAACCGTCAAGCCTCCTCACCCTTCACTTTCTGTTCTCACACAGCACCCTACTCTTCCTCATGCTCACCCCTCACCCTCATGTGACCCTGAACCTTTGTTTGCCTTCTATTTAATCTTCCACACACCACTTACTATCTCAAAGGAGCCTGTCTCCCATTTTCCCCAAGTTTCTCTTGATACCTTTGTTCCATAGCCCATCCGTTTTCCTCTTTGTAGGATGCCATTATCTTACAAGTTTCTTTCTTCAGTTTTCTTCTTGATGTCCATGTGACCCTGTATCCCTTCAGCAGTTCCCAGGGGTCGGGTGGCTCCTGTCCGCTGGCTGCCCCTGTGCCGCCACATCTTATCCTGTCTTCCCATGATCCCACCTCTCACTGTCACCTCTAAAGTCAGCAAGAAAAATGGTGGCAGCTCTCAGAAAGGAAAATTCAGTCTGCGTGTGACAGGGTGAGCTCAGACCATCCTCCGACATCACCAGTTTAACTGTATAAGAATATTACAAAACCATGAAGTTTATACTTTTACATTACAGTTCTGAGCGAGGACACCCGACCCTGACTCGGGTCTTATGTGTAAGGCAAACCAGTTGCAGCTGATCAGGTCACAGAGGTGGGGCCTAGGGAACTGTCCAGAGAAAGGCGGGTGCTACCCTGGCAACTTGACCTTACGGTAGCACAAGGCTGATTCCTTCTTCACTCAACAACACTTCAGAGATGTATATGGCGCCACCCCCAGCCTCCACTCAAAAGGTCAGCATGCCTGGCCTTCGCTGGAGCGGCTGTCCACTTTGCCTCACCCTCTAGGACCTATGTGGCCTTAGATGAACCTGCGCCACTCAGCTCTCTTTGAAGAAAAGGCCAGGGGGTGCTTAAGGACGCTGCTACTGCCAGGCAACCTGATTTTCCCAGTTAGCAGTGGAGTTAGTGGTAGTCCACTTTATCAGCCCGGCCTTTTGTTGTCGTTCATTCTGTTTGCCCTTCTTAGCAACGGCCGCTGAAAGGGATAACTCCCAGCTGCTACGCTCAGTGTTCCCTGCCGTGTAGGACCTGCTTATGAAAATGGCTTCTATGACCTACAGCCTAGAAAAACATCAAGCGTAGAACACAAGGCCAAACTCAGAGCTCCCAGTAATACTGCAAACAAGATCTGAGAGCAATGCCCAACTTCAAGTTATACCCAGTTTCAGGTTAACTATCTCAGTTTTGTTTTTCACATGTGTGGCAGAAGTCAAGGGCCATCAACATGTTCCTCGCTTACATGGACTAATATGGTCTGTTTGTCTCTAGCTTGTCTCATTATGGACTACAAGACAGAACAAAACTTCCTCCCAATATACTGCCTTTTAAAAATTTTTCATGTGTAACGTCTCAGTTGCTTGCTCATCATAACCAGACTTTCCATCAGACTCATCAGTGATGGCTGGTGATCACTCTGAGTGACTTTTGTCAGGGGGTTGGTGTTTTGTAAGAAAACAATGCATAGAAAATTAAACTCAGGGTGTCTTAGTTAGGGTTTCTATTGCCGTGAAGAGACACCATGACCTTGGCAACTCTTATAAAGGAAAGCATTAGACCTTGCTTACAATTCAGAGGGTTAGTCCATTATCATCATGGCAGGAGCATGGCAGCGTGCAGGCAGAAATGGTGCTGGAGAGGTAACTGAGAGCTCTGTATCTTACACAGGCAACAGGAAGTGGACTCGGACACTGGGCATGGTTTGAGCATATGAGACCTCAAAGCCCGCCCCCACAGTGACACACTTCCTCCAATAAGACCACACCTCCTAATAATGCCACTCCCTATGAGATTGTGGGGACCTGTTGCATTCAAACTACCATGCCGGGACGTGATGTTATAGATGCCCTCCCCCTGCCAGGCATCAAAGACATTGTGTTGAGTATCTGGGGTTTTAACTCATCTTTCCATCTACAGGTTCAGCTGTTTGGCAGTTGATCGCATCCTTCCTGAGACTTCCAATCTCAGGAACTCACTGCATAGTCGGCTCTACCATAGGCTTCTCCCTTGTGGCAATCGGTACCAAAGGCGTGCAGTGGATGGAGCTTGTCAAGATTGGTAATTGGCATCTTTTTTTACCTTTAGCAAGTAAAGTTTGCCTTCTCTAGAGTAAGTTTTATTAAAAGTTACTTTTGTAATACTTTCCCCTCAATGTTAAGGGTTAGAAGACCAGTATTGTATAGGCAGGTAATGCATTTTCTTTACAATTTCCATTATTGGGGCAAGTTCACTGTTACTTGTCAGTTTTAACTCCATGCTTAAAATGTTACAGCGTCATCTAGCTTTTGAAATCAGTTATTTTTTATTTATTTTGTTTTATATGCATTGGTGTTTTTGCCATGGGTGTTGGGCTCCCTGGAACTGGAATTACAGGCAGTTGTGAGCTGCCATGTGGGTGCTGGGAACTGAACCTGGGTCCTCTGGAAAAACAACCAGTGATCTTAACCACTTAGCCATCTCTCCAGCCCCCTGAAATCAGAATCTTATCTGTCCTTGCCAAGCAGAAGAAACATGCATTTCACTGAAATCAGCATAGAGTTTGAGAAAGACTAGAGCTAGGTCCAAGTGAGGCACAGCCTTAAATCCAAGAGTCAGTGTTTAAGGTCATGGGAAAGCCCAGATAAAGCCACTGTTATTGACTTCCCTGCATCGCACGCTGCTCAGGTCTGCCCCCTGGAGGAAGCACTGTGGTGTTCCTCCCCACAGTGGTCCATCTACACTAGACAGTCTCTGACAGTCCTCTCAGGGCTCACTCAGAATGAACGGTGCCATCGCTGTCCTGCAGGGAGTTCATTCTTTCCTAGAACCATAGGGCCTTAGGAGCTATAGCTCATAATGATCCCTGGCCTGCCAATCAGGGGTGCGGGCCCCCATGAAAATCACCTTATGTCCCCAAGCTCCTGGAATAACTGCTTTCAACCCTAGCGCATTAGAACTACCTGAAGGAGCAATTAAGAAGTATCCACATTCTGATCTTACTCTGCACCGCCTGAAGTCTGGGGGTGGGGCCAGAGTTTGGAAACTCCCAGGCGGTTTCTGGGTGAAGCCAGAACTAGAAGCACCCAGCAGAGGCTAACACCAGATGTGAGGAAGGAAAACACCAGGCTGGATGTGATTAAAGGAAATAGAACATGACCCACCTTATATGTAACCCTTGCCGTTGGGACAACAGACCCCACATGTATTGATAAAAGCAAGTACGTGGCTTAAAACAGCGGTTCTCAGCCTTCCTATGCTGCAACCTTTAATATAGTTCCTCATGGAGTGGCGACCCCCAGCCATTGCTGCTTCATAACTATAATTTTGCTACTGTTATGAATCATAATATAAACATTCAATATGCAAACTGTCTGCCATTCCAAGGGGTCGCGCCCCACAGGTTGAGAACCCCTGACTTAGAGGGAACTAATTGGTAAACTGAAGCTAGAGCCTGGGAACCAGCATAACCAGCCATATGTGAGTGTGTTTGGGCCTGAGAACTATGAGCTTGCTGGGCTCTGACGCTGGCAGACAGTGCTGGTAATACGTGTTCATATAGGCAATATATCGATCGCTTCCTGTGATAGTGTTTAAACATACTTGTGTGTGAACTTATCATTCACTGGGTTCTTTCTCAATCATTCAGTGGCTTCCTGGTTTATATCGCCGCTTCTTTCCGGCTTCATGTCTGGTGTGTTGTTTGTGCTCATCAGGATGTTCATCTTAACCAAGGTGAGTGAGGCTGCTTTCTTCATTTTATGTTTGGTTAAATTTTAGAACGAATTTTGGTGCTGCTCAGTAGAAACTAGTATCGGTAGGTCAGTGGGAGAATTGTTTCTCCTTTGCCAAGTTGCACATATGAAAATGTTTTCTTTTTTTTTTCTTTTTTTTTTTTTTTTTGGATAGGGTTTCTCTGTAGCTTTGGTGCCTGTCCTGGAACTAGCTCTTGTAGACCAGGCTGGCCTCGAACTCCCAGAGATCCGCCTGCCTCTGCCTCCCGAGTGCTGGGATTAAAGGCATGCGCCACCACTGCCCGGCGAAAATGTTTTCTTTGTATAACTGGTTTACTGTCATTGTGTATGGGGACGCACATGCCACAGCATGCTTGTGAAGGTCAGAGGACAACTCTCAGGAGTCACATGACATGTAGACATGGAACTCAGATCGTCATTATGAAAGAGGAAGTGCTTTACCTTCCGAGACATCTTGCTGTCCCCGTATAAGGGGATATGGGTGTTTTGCCTACAAGTGTGTCGCACATGTGTGCCTGGTGTCCACACAGGGCGCTGGATTCCCTCGAACTGGAGTAGAGACAGTGGTGAGCTTCCATGTGTTTGCTGGGAATCTTCCTCTGGAAGAGCAAGCAGCCAGTACTCTTACCCACTTCAACCCTGCTTTATATATTTTAATATAGTTAAAATGTGTCTAGCGCGAGAGTCATTTAAAATCTGCCATCCATGCTATGATGGCTGTCACTTGACTCTCTAGACTTCCGAGAGGAGAGAGCCTACAGTTGATGAGGTGGACTGGCAGGTGCAAAGATGAACTTAGCCATGTCAGCTCGTGTGGCTCCCTAACGTGCTGGCCACAGATGTGTAGGGGAGATGGCCTCGGCCGAGCAGCAGCTCGCACCGTGTTGCTCCCCTGTAATCAAGACCCCGTCTGTGTAGGGGCGATGCAGCCGAGCAGCAGCCCGCACCGTACTGCTCCCTGTAATCAGGACCCCGTCTGTGTAGGGGCGATGCAGCTGAGACAGCAGCCCGCACCATGTTGCTCCCCTGTAATCAGGACCCCGTCTCTTTGTCTATGTTGCTGCCAGAGGTTCTCGTCCTGACACCCACTCTGCTCCTTGTCATGCAGGAGAACCCTGTTCCAAACGGTCTCCAGGCGCTTCCTCTGTTCTATGCTGCTACTATAGCAATAAATGTCTTCTCCATCATGTACACGGGAGCACCAGGTAAGACCCCTCCATGGAATCTTAAATAAGGAGCGTGTAATTTAATATCGTTCACTTGCTTTGTAGCTAGCATTGGGGTTGGTTAATAGCAAGAAGCCTTGTTCCCGTTATCGTGGAGTAGTAAAAACAATAATAAGTGCATTTCCTTGTTTTAAATACCAAGAAGATGCATGAAATACAAAAACAACAGGCTCTCAAGATAAACGGAAATCCCAGTCTGCCATCACCCACATAGGCTGCCCTGGCAGCAGACTGAAATGCCACGTCTTAGACGATGTTCCAGTAGCTGTGGAGGCAAGAGGAGGGCATCACACATGTGGTCCAGCTGTCGAGGATGGGAAAGATGGGTCAGAAGTGATCTACAGCTGTGAATACAGAAATTCCTGGGCATTATCAAACCGTTAGTCCTGGACCTAGTGATTTTCTTTTCAGAATTACTCCTTTTCTTCCTGTTCTGATTTGGGTTGGGGTAGGGAAGCATGGTGGCATGGACCTGCCATCCCCCTGCCATCCCAGCCCTTGGCCTTGGTTAACCAGTTTCAGGAGAGCCTGGCGATACAATAGCTCACCAAAAAAAAGAAAAATGTCTGTGTGTAGCTGGTCGGTCCTTCGGAGTCGTGACCACTCCTGTGTGAGTCCTATAGAAACCTGAAGTAAGAATCTTTTCATACACATTGTAGCTTAAAAAAAAGCAAGGCTGGTAATGTTTGTTGGTGATTAAACAGCCCCTGACACATGCTGAGTTTGTCACGTGCCGGGCACCATGGGAAGTGCCCTGCCTCCACTGTGCATCCTTTTAAGAAATAGACTTTGATTGTCCCTATCTGCGCATGCTTTGTTAGCTTTTGAGGAAGGGTCTCTCTACATAGCCCTGGTTGTCCAGGAACTCACTATGTAGACCAGGCTGGCCTCAAACTCACAGAGATCTGCCTGCCTCTGCCTCCCACATGTTGGTATTAAAGGCGCGCTCCCACACACCTGGCCTTTGGATATGGTCTTGCCTGAACAGTTGCCTGCCCAGAGGCCAACTCTGGGACTGGGACCATTGAATGAGCAATAACCCACAGTATCCATGTGTAGATTTTAATATTCCTAACAACAGTTGGCTCTGAGCATTAAGTATATAGAAGATATAGAGATAGGCTATCAAAAATATTGGAAGATTTTCAAAGAGAATTTAGAGAAAGAATTTGTAATAGTCTGTATGTGCCAGGTTGCCTAAGGTGTCTAACTGAGACACTGGCATCCTAGACTAGGTTCCTGGTTTAATTCTGGCCCTTAGCCTTGCCGGTTACTGTAACTAATCCTGAGGATCGAGTTCTCATCTTCAGAGTGGCATTGGTTATGATAGCTCCATCTAAACATCAGCTCCATGGATGTATATGCGTTCTTACGACAAACCGGTGAGGTACTCACACCTCAGTGTCTCGTCACCATATAGCTTCATTTCCCCCGGAATAATCCTCTCTACCAACAAGATGCAGCAAATACATAGGAAAAAGACAAATAAAAGAACAAGAAGACAGGCAAATGTAAATAAAGACTAGAAGGAAGAGAAAGAATGCAGTGCCATGGCACACAGTGGCATAAAGTGACACGCAGTGACACACAGTGACATGACACACAGTGACACACAGTGACGCACAGTGACATGACGCACAGTGACATGACGCACAGTGACATGACGCACAGTGACGCACAGTGACACACAGTGACGCACAGTGACATGACGCACAGTGACATGACGCACAGTGACGCACAGTGACACACAGTGACGCACAGTGACATGACGCACAGTGACACACAGTGACATGACGCACAGTGACGCACAGTGATGCACAGTGACGCACAGTGACACACAGTGACATGACGCACAGTGACATGACGCACAGTGACGCACAGTGACACACAGTGACATGACGCACAGTGACACACAGTGACACACAGTGACGCACAGTGACACACAGTGACGCACAGTGACGCACAGTGACGCACAGTGACGCACAGTGATGCACAGTGACATGACGCACAGTGACACACAGTGACGCACAGTGACGCACAGTGACGCACAGTGACGCACAGTGACGCACAGTGATGCACAGTGACACACAGTGACATGACGCACAGTGACACACAGTGACACGCAGTGACACGCAGTGACACACAGTGACATGACATACAGTGACGCACAGTGACACGCAGTGACACGCAACAGCTAAGGCACAGTGAGGCCACAGGCTAGCCGCATCAGCATCCCGTGAGGTGACAGAAATTCAGGTTGTCTGCTCTGTCTCTGGGCCTAGTGCTCTGCAGTCTGTTTCCACAGGGGCCTCACGTGACAGTTGAGGGTCTGTAACACCAGGGACTTTAATGTTTTTCTTGTTTGAGGCAGGAGCTGTCTGTGGTGCCCAGCTGTTCCAGAATTTCTGAGATTAAATGATCCTCCTGAGTAGCTGGGAGCACAGAAGTGAACCACACCTGACAAACAACCGCTTCTGCCATAAACATTTACTTCTTTATGGTTCTCACGTGATGAGTGCGAGCTCTTAGAAAGTTCTCGCTGGCAATCTCCACTCCATCTGTGAAAAGTGTGTGTGTGTGCACAGCACACGTGGAGGTCACCCTCCAAGGCCTCTCTTGTTTCTGCTGTTGCACAGCTACCCCAGGCTTAGCTGGCCTGGGAGCTGCTGGCAGCTGTTCTGGCTGCACCCTACCCCCACCTCTCTGCTGTAGCACGGTGGGATTCCAGATGCTTGGCCTTGCAGCCTGATATTTTATTTATTATTTTCTTTATTTTTATGTGAGTTCCTATATGGGACTCAGGTCGCACAGCAAGGACTTTCATGTCCCCACCCTGAGCCACACCCCTGGCCCTGCTCACTTCCCCAGCAGCCTCCTCCCGTCCCCTCCCTCCTCTTCCTCCTCCTCAGCATCCCTTTTCTCGTCCCCCCCGCCCCCCCCCCCGACTTCCTCCTCCTCCATCTTTGTTTTGTTCCCCTTCACCTCCAACTCTCCCAGTTCTAGCTGCTTCTTATCCAAGCCCAAGGAAGTCAGCTCCCAGGAAGCTGTCAGGCCCCCACAGTCTTTATAAGGAGGCCTCTGGGCTCCACGGCTGACGGCAGCATCCACGCTGTGGAGAAGCAGAAGCCTCCGTGATAGCTAGCACTGAGGTGACACCGTCTCCAGTCCCGTCAAGGGCTGGATTCAAAACAAAGTTCTTTACACGTGCCTTTCCCCCACCCCAGCACCAAAAAACATTTACAGATGCAGCCTGGTCTGAGAAAGCTGCTGCTATATTTTTAAAGATCCCAACTGTAGAGCAAAATTAAGAAGCACCATATTTATTTCAAAAGCATGACTCATTTTCCTGAGTTTCCCAGCATTCCTTGTCCATGCATGGTTCTTCTGACGCTTTAAAATGTTGTTCTAAAATAAAGTAAAACCTAACAATAGCATCGTTTACTATTTGAGGAAGGATAACAAGGAGCAGGGAAACCTGTGTGTGCATCTGTATTCACGTGTGTATTACTATGGGACGGTGTCCACAATCCATTGTTAAACGACAGTTGAAAGCACAGAAGAGAATATGTAGTGTAATTATGGTTCTGTTAAATGAACACCTTTTGTTGTTGAGGCAGGTTCTTAAGTGTAGCCTTGGCTGGCCTGGAACTCGTTGTGTAGATCAGGTTGGCCTCTAGCTTGCAGAGAACCATCCACCTCTGCCTCCTGAGTGCTAGAATTAAAGATGCGATCTACACTCCCAATGGGAATGAACTATTTTTTTTCCTAAGTTGAATTTTTTTCGGACCATATAGTCTGATCATTGTTTCCCTTCCCTCATCTCCTCCCAAATTATTCCCCACTTCCCCCTCCATCAAACAAACAAAAAAAAACCCACAAGAAATACAGATATACACACGCACACATACAAACAAAAACACACATTCACACAAAATAGGAAATTATAATATACTAGCAAAAGACCAGTAAGACAAAAAATGCCCAAACAAAGCAATGAGACCCCCAAAATTACAAAAATACCATTGAGTTCATGGGTGTGGCTGTGCTGTTGTGTGTGGAAGACACTGTTTCATGGGTGTGGCTGTGCTGTTGTGTTTGGAAGACACTGTTTCCTTGGTATCTTCCATCCTCTATGGCTCTCACTCTCTTTCCACCTCCTCTTCCACAGAGTTCCCTGAGCTCTGAGGTGCAGAGTGTGATGGAGACATCCCATTTAGGATGGATGGTCCCTAGGTCTCTCACTCTGCACACTATTCAGTTGTGGGTCTCTGTGTTAGTTCTCGTCTACTGCAGGAGGAAATTCTCTAATGATGGATGAAGGAGGCACTGATCTATGGGTGGAGCACAATGTCGTTCGAAGTGATTTTATTGCCTTTAGCAAAATATGGTATTTGGTCTTCTTGTAGACCCATGTCTTATCTAGTCTCAGGTTCTCGGGCACCTGAGCAGTGTCAGGCGTGGGTTGTTCATGAGGCTTTAAATCCAATCAGATAGTGGTTGGTTACTCCCGCAGCCTATGCGCCACTATGGCACCAGTGCATCATACAGGTCACCATTGGCGAGCACAGGCTTTATAGCTGGGTGTGCATTTCTCCTCTGGTAGTGTGCTTGCCAATATCATGAACACTAGTCAGTAGGGAGTAAAGGTTCTAGTTAGAGATCAGCTTGACACGTTCATGTTCAGTGAAATATGTAGGTGTCATCTTCAGCATTGGGGTCTTACCATTAGCCTTGGCAATAGCCTGAGTTTGGAGGTGTTTCTATGAGGCCCCCTTTGATCAACAACTCAATTAGATATAACCCATTCCTGGTTAGAGGATAATACTAGAGGTTTTATTTGGTGGAGAGAGATGTCTAGTTGGGGCATTGTCTCCCCCATTATTTGGTAACTCCATTTAGATTTCTTTCACACGTGTATGCATTTTAAGAAGCTTCTACTATAGTTGGCTTCCATATGACCCCCCTTCAATGGCCCTTAGTGTTAGTTGTCTCTCCCTGCCTTCTCTCCCTTACCCCCCTCTTCCAGCTCTTAGCAACACTTTACGCATACCTAGAAAATGCCTGGAAAGACACACAACACATAACCTCCTCCTTCCCCTGAGAAGGGTGATAAGAACATTTTATATTTGTACATCTTACAGTTCGCTGTAGTCATGATAATATTATTTTTAAAGGCTTGTATCATGTTCAAAATTAGAACCAAATGCCTGCGTTGAGTCAGTGCCAAGGAGAGCCGTCAGGAGGAGTAAGCAGGGGAGACGTAGGCTGGTCAGGGCCAAAGCTTGCTAGTTCTAATTTGTTTATTTTGTAGATTCTGTCAGTGATTGCCGTATGTAAAAGATGAGATGCAAGACAAAATGATGACAACGAAATTATTAACAGTTCTGCCATTTCTTCTTCTTTGGGGGGTTTGGAATAGAACCAGAATGTTCAAGGTAGCACCAAATCGCTGTTGATCGTATCTTCGTTGTTTAGAGGCGCAGAAGATGAGAAGCCATTTAGTAGTGTGAGCTGAAAGCAAGCTCCAGGCTCACATTGCTGGCTCCTGGCAGCGGCTTCTGGCTGAGTGAGCACAAGCCATTCAAGCTGTGCCCTACTTTGTCCCTCCACAGTGGGAAACAACCGTGGTGCCTGGTTGCCCCCTGAAGTTGTAATTATTTGAAACAATTTGAGAGCCTCGCCAGGAAGACAATCCAATGAGAAGCACTTTCTCCAAATGTTTGTTATATACGAAGCAGCCCCAAGTATTACGTTTAAAAGAAATATTTTGCAGTGTGTGTGCAGTGGTTCAAGCATGTTCCTCATTTTGTTTTTATTGTTCTTGAGACAGGGTCTCATGACATGTAGCCCGAGATTGTTACCCTCATGGTTTATCGAGCTGCTCTGGGATCAAGTCCGTGGGCAGAACTGGAGAGGACTGGGCTGGGCTGGGCTGGGCTGCCAGCTAGCACACTTAGCCTGCGGAGGTTTTGAGTCCGTGGCTCCCTGCTGTCCCTGGACTTTGGGAGTGGATCCATCTAAATGTCTAAACCCCAGCAGCCACCTGCTAACCATAAGCAAGCCAGGGAGGTCTGTGCTTTGTTTTTACTATTTGTGAACATTCCTGCTGACCTCCTGTGTCTGTTACTCGCTCTGTAACCTCTTACCAGTGTAAAAATGCATAATAATGCGTGGAGTAACTCTGAGCTGATTCGCTTGTACACAGCAGTTAGGGCAACATCAATAAAGCTTAATTTCAAACTTAAAAATGCTTCCAGTTTACGCAAATGGCATTCTTAATTATGTATATTTAAAGTTACTATATATTATGTTATTTATTATATTAAATATATATTTAAAGCCAGTAACTTGTGTATATATATTATTACATTATATAATATATATGTGAACTGAAACCCTGCTGGAACACGTGCCCAGGCCTCTGGCTTCCCACCACTGTTTCTGGTTCACACATTCTCTTGGAAGCTTGTGACCAGGTGAACCAATCGCTGCTGTTTCTCTCTGAGCATAAGTAAGCAAACGGTGCAGCCAGGTGGGTGGAAAACACTGGGTCTCATCTCTGCAGAACTTGTTCTAACCGCCGATGGCTGCCTCCTGTGTGTGACTGTGTGTATAGCTAGTTTACATCTCCATGACAATGATGCATTGGCTGGTCTAGAAATTCCTACCATTAAAAGAAATACTGTTGGGGAAGGGGGCGGAGAGATGGCTCAGAGGTTAAGAGCCATGCTGCTCTTCCAAAGGACCTGAGTTCAGTTCCCAGCACCCACATCAGGTGTCTCACAACCTCCCTGTCTTAATTCGGTTTCTTTTTTTAAAATTGATTTTTATTGAGCTCTACATTTTTCTCTGCTCCCCTCCTTGCTTCTTCCCTCCCCACTTCATTCCTCCCCCAAGGTCCCCATGTTTCCAATTTACCCAGGAGATCTTGTCTTTTAATACTTTCTACTTCCCATGTAGATTAGATCTATGTAAGTCTCTCTTAGTGTCCTCATTGTTGTCTAAATTCTCTGGGATTGTGGTTTGTAGGCTGGCTTTCTTTGCTTTATGTTTAAAAACCACCTATGAGTGAGTACATGTGATAATTGTCTTTCTGGGTCTGGGCTACCTCACTCAAATAATGTTTTCTAGCTCCATCCTTAATTAGGTTTCTATTGCTTCAGTGAAACACTGTGACCAGAGAGCAAGTTGGGAAAGAAAGGGTTGATTTGGCTCACACTTCTACTGTATTGTCCATCACTGGAGGAAGTTAAGACAGGAACTCAAGCAGGGCAGGAACCTGTAGCCAGGAAGGGTACTGAGGCCATAGAGGGGTGCTGCTTACTGGCTTACCCATCATAGCTTGCTCAGTCTTGTGTTCTCTCTCTTTCTCTCTCTCCCTCCCTCCCTCCCTCCCTCCCTCTCTCTCGTTTGACAGGCTTTCTCTCTGTAATAGCTGTAGCTGTCCTGGAACTAGCTCTTGTAGACCAGGCTGGCCTCAAGCTCACAGAGATCCACCTGCCTCTGCCTCCCAAGTGCTGGGATTAAAGGTGTGCACCACCACTGCCTGGTTTCAACCTACTTTCTTATAGAATCCAGAACCACCATCCCACAGATGGTACCACCCACACGGAGTTCTCCCCCATCAGTTATTAATTAAGAAAATTCCTACAGCTGGATCCTATGGGGGCATCCTTTCAGGTGATTCTAGCTTGTGTCAAGTTGACATAGAATTAGCCAGGACAACCCTGTGACTCCAGCTCTAGGAGGATCCAACATCACTGGCCTCTACAGGCACCCAGACTCACATATGTGTACAGGTGCTCACAGTGCACGCTCACACTGCCATACACACATATTCCCACATGTGGGTACACGCACGTGCACACGTGCTTGCTCTTATGATTGAAGAAAAATTAGAGCTGAGGTAAGAGAGTCATGTATAGGTGTTCATGTGTGAGCATGGATGTTAAGTTCTGTACCATAGGAGTTCACGGGTGAGCATGGATGTTAAGTTCCGGACCTTTAGATATTTCTGAAAGGCACCTATTATTATCCCTAGGGCAGAAAACAGATGCAGTTCCAGGCTGAGCTAGGGAGCCAAGCGTGCTGAGCACAAATGATATCACTAAAGCACAGGCACTCCGGCCCTAACTGCTGCTCGCTGCAATGCTGACTTTCGTTGGGTTTGCTGTGTTGTAATTTCTTAAATTGACATTTTGAGGAAGAGTTATATTTGAAGGGCGGTGGCCTCTAAAGAAACTCTTACTTCTGTAAGGTCTTTCCTTTTTCAGTCTAAAGTTTTGTTTTATTTCGTTTGGGGTGTTTTGTTTTATGAGACTTTAACACAACGATCCTGCAACCTTCACTGCCCTGGTTCTGGGAATACAGGCATGTACTACCACACCCAGAATTCTCTTTGTCTCTAAAAGGTGCATGCCTGTGACCAGGGTATAACAGCACCCGGTTAAAGCAGAGCTGCTGGCCCTTGAGCAAAGACCCAGAGAGGCAGCACAAGCCCACATCATCCACAGAGCCACCATTTGCCACTACTGAGCAGGGCCATCTGTTAGGACATAAAACAGCAAGTGGCCATATTTGCCTGATCAGCTAAGATAATGATACAACATATACAGAAAATAGTGCTATACAAAAAGACTTCCTACCCTGACCGTGCCCAAGTGGTAGCATTTTAATAATTAATTCCTAACAAGCACAGATTCTCAAGACCGTTATATGTCTTAAACACAGCCCTGCTGTCTGCCCCCGGGTGTGCAGTGTGCTTGGTTTGGTTTCATTTCCCTGAGATATTTGTTCAGTACAGAATCGGGGTGACTTGTTTGAGCCTGGAGGAGCAGAGGATGAGTTGCTGGTGGAGGCTTTCCCAGTACCAACACTGCTGTTCCTTTGTTTCCCAGTGCTGGGGCTGACGCTTCCCATATGGGCCATAGCTCTCATTTCCTTTGGTGTCGCTCTGCTGTTCGCTTTCTTCGTGTGGCTCTTCGTGTGTCCGTGGATGAAGAGGAAAATAGCAGGTAAGCAGCTTTTATTCTTCCAGATTACAAAACTGCTCTTCATTCCTGAGGCTATCTCTGTAAATAAACAGTGTCCTTAAAAATAAAGGAATTATAGCTGGTTGGTGGTGGCTCACGCCTTTAATCCCAGCACTTGGGAGCAGTGGCAGGCGGACCTCAGTGAGTTCAAGGCCAGCCTGGTCTTCAAAAGCTAGTTCTAGGACATCCAGAGCTACAGAGAAACCCTGTCTAGAAAAAACAAAAATGAAAACAAAATCAAAATAACAACAACAGGGCTGGAGAGGTGTCTCAGAGGTTAAGAGCATTGTCTGCTCTTCCAAAGGTCCTGAGTTCAATTCCCAGCAACCACATGGTGGCTCACAACCATCTGTAATGGAGTCTGGTGCCCTCTTCTGGTCTGCAGGCATACACACAGACAGAATATTGTATACATAATAAATAAATAAATATTTAAAAAACAACAACAACAACAAAAATGGAATAAAGGAATTAGAGATGAGAGTAGTTCCTAAAATTGCCCAGGGATGCAGACTCAGGCCTCTGGCCCTCCACTTCTGTTTCTGCCTCATAGAGTTCCGTGATAATTTGTGGGCGACGTGAGCATCATTATTTGTTTCCAAGCACAACTGTAAGTGAACACACAGGTTCTGCCAGCTCGGGAGGAAACATTCTCTCTGGGGAAATGCAGACCGTCACCATAAAGGATGGCGCGTGTGACAAGTGGCTGAAACGACTTGGACTCTTAGAGATTCGTGGCGGGCTGACTGCAGAACGGGTCCTGTAATTGTATTTTATCGATCTAGACTTAAGCTCTTCATAAATTTGTACAGAAAGCTAAAGAAACTGAAATAGCCACAACGGTTTTGAAATCGGAAGAGGGAGATTTCCTGCCTTTAGGGTTACTGTGATACTCAAGGCAGCGTGTGCCGTGAAGCACAGACTTACTGTGATACTCAAGGCAGCGTGTGCCGTGAAGAACAGATGTGTTGGTCAACAGAGCAGACAGATTCCAGGAGACCATACAGATGTGGCGAATATACTTCAAGACTGGTGGTTCAGTGGAGAAAACACAGTCCTTTTTATTTGTTTTTCTTTCCAGACAGGGTTTCTCTGTGTTGCCCTCGCTGTCCTAGAACTCTCTCAGTAGACCAGGCTGGCCTGGAACTCACACAGAGATCCACCTCCCTCTGCTTCCCAAGTGCTGGGATTAAAGGTGTGAGCACTATCACCTGGCAAAAATACTGTCCCTTTAAACAGAATTCACTGAAATAATTGAATGTCCACACACCAAAGCAGAAGCCAAGCCTTACGATAAATGTTATGCCTTACTTTTAAGTTAACTCGAGATGTACCATAAATCTAAATGTAAAAGTAATAAAGACTTTTTGGGGAGTAAGAACTTTGTGATCTTGGTTAAGCAAAGAACTTTGTCCATGACACCAAGCACGATCCACAGAAGAAATTTACAAATTTTACAAGATGCAGATTGAAAACTCTGGCTCACTGAAAACACCATTTAGGGAAACTTTGTGTCATGGAAATAAATATATTAAGAAATTTTTTAAAATCAGCTAAAACATGAGCAATATATTTTTAATTTATTTTGATTCTTTTTAATCATGTCCGTCCTGGTGTGGGAGTTTGCGCATATGGGTGCGGGTGCCCACATAGGCCAAGGTGTCAGATACCCCTGAAGCTCAAGTTAGAGGCTGTTTGTGAGCCCCCAAAGGAGGTGTTGGGAACCACACTTGGGTCCTCTGGAAGAACAGTGCTGACTCTTAACCTCTGAGCTCTCTCTCCAGGTGGAGCAAACTGTTGGAACACCTTATAGAGATGTAAGTGGCAAATGAACCCATGCCACGTTCACTCTCACTAACGGTCAGGGAATACAACATCAAACGAGCATGAGATACCGCTTCACACCATTCGAATGCCTTTGTAACACATGACCATGTTAACTGGGAAGGATTAAAAACAAACAACAAAAAAAAAACAACAACACCAGCAACAACAACAACAACAAAACAGCTATAACTTTCAGGCACTGGCATTGGTAATTCAAAGTGGCACAAGAGACAGCCGGACAGTTCTTAGGTTACATGTGCACGGGCCTTCGGCATTCTTTGAACCAGTCCTGGGTATTTCCCCAGAGAAATCAAAACCGAAATTCACACAAAACTCTGCCCATGGGTGTTTCCAGCAGCTCTATCGCTCTCACCCGGAATGGAAGCCCTCCCCCGACAGGTTATCACGGGATAAAGAAAGTGCGGCTCCACACTCCAGTGCTCAGCAGTAACAAGGAACTGGATGCCACTCCCGTGGCAGCGTGAGTGAGTGGCAAAGCCAGCGTGCTGAGTAGAAGCAGCCTTCTCACGTACTTAGTCATCTTGTGATTTTGTCTTGGAGGCTTTCTGAAAAATGCAGAACTGGAGGGTGGCAGATGAGACAGGTGGTCGTCTCAGGTAGGGCTGGGCGGGGGAGTAAATAAGGACCTGGGGACTTCTTACATCCCCGTTGTAGTGGTGCCTCTTGGGAAACTCAGAATCACACATACCTGCAAAGGCAACTTGCTGCATGTGAGTTTTAAGACTAAGAATTTTCATGGGGCTGGAGAGATGGCTCAACAGTTAAGTGTATGCACTGCTCGTCCAGAGGACCCCAGTTCAGTCATAATCTGAGTCCCAGCGTCCACACCGAGGAGCTCACAAGTGTCTATAACTCCAATTCCAGCGGAATCCAATGCCTCTGACCTCTGCAGACACTGCACTTACATGCATGTGTATGCACACACTCTAAAAATAATCAAGGGATCAGAGAGATAGCTCAGAGGTTAAGAGGACTTGCTGCGGTTGCAGAAGATAGGTTTGGTGCCCAGGACGCACACGGCAGCTCACAACTGTAAACAGCTCTAGAGGGTCTGACCTGTTTCTTATTGAGTAAATGGAATCTTCCTGTTTCTTTTGAGAGACAAAAAAAAAAAAAAAGGTTTACTTGCGTCATAGAATCTGATATGATCAAAGAAATCTGAGACCAATAATTTATTGACCAGGAAAAATAAACCAAATGTATTCCACTTGTTCAAGACAAGAATGATAAACATTTCTATAACTCTAAGGCTAGTCCGTCTAGAAGGGTTATAGAATTATAGAATTGTCAGCCCTGGAAGAGGCCTGGGCGATCAAATTTAAGGTTTTGGATATATTAGTAACTCAGTGTAAGTATGTATCATTTAATAGCTGTCTTTAAGAGCATGGATTGAATTGGCAGTGGTGGTGCACACCTTTAATCCCAGCCCTCAGGAGGCAGAGACAGGCAGATCGCTGGGTTTGAGGCCAGACTAATCTACAGAGTGAGTTTCAGGACAGCCAGGGCTACACAGAGAACCCTGTCTCGAAAAATAGATAAATAAATAATTTTAAAATTTAAAAAAAAATCATTGATGTTTTTATTTCCTCATCTAGCTCTAATGTTTTGTTTCCAAGGTCAGTACTGAAGTGTAAAAAAAGATATCTTAACATTTTAGTATTTAATCATTTTATTTTTAAAAGAAAAAGAATGCATTTCCAGAATCTGTACTTCCTTCCTTATCTTCTCTAGGCAAATTAGAAAAGACGAGCGCTTTATCGCGAACTTCCAATGAAAGTCTCAGTAAAGCCCAGGAGGTGGAGTCCCCGTTTAAGGAGCTCCCTGGTGCCAAAGCCAGCGATGACAGTGCTGTCCCCCTCACCAGCCCGGCTGGGGAGGCTGTGGGACCCTCCGAGGGCACATCAACAGGGAACCACCCCCGGACAGCCTATGGTAAGGCTAACTTGGAGCTCTTGAGTACAACACGGGAAGGAGGTAATCTGCCAGGCCGAGCTTGGGTACAAAAGTGTACCCAGAATTTATGTTTTGATGGACAGGAATCCAACCCAGAGCCTTGTGCATGCTAAGCATGTGATTTTCCACTGAGTGTCGTACTCTCCACCTTAAATCAGCATCTCCTACATTATTTCCAGGACGGGCACTTTCCATGACTCACGGCTCTGCAAAGTCACCCATCTCCAACGGCACGTTCGGCTTTGAAGGCCACATGAGGAATGACGGTCATGTTTATCACACTGTACACAAAGACTCGGGGCTCTACAAAGACTTGCTGCACAAAATCCACGTAGACAGAGGCCCCGAGGAGAAGCCCGCTCAGGAAAACAACTACAGGCTGCTTCGGCGGAACAACAGCTACACCTGCTACACCGCGGCCATCTGTGGCATGCCGGTGCATACCACCTTCAGAGCCCCAGATGCCTCCTCCGCCCCCGAGGACAGCGAGAAGCTGGTGGGCGACACGGTGTCCTATTCCAAGAAGCGGCTTCGTTACGACAGCTACTCCAGCTACTGCAATGCGGTCGCCGAGGCCGAGATCGAGGCTGAGGAGGGGGGCGTAGAAATGAGGCTGGCCTCGGAGCTAGCAGATCCCGACCAGCCTCACGAGGACCCCACGGAGGAAGAGAAGGAGGAGAAGGACACGGCAGAGGTCCACCTGCTCTTCCACTTCCTGCAAGTTCTCACTGCCTGCTTTGGTTCCTTTGCTCATGGTGGCAATGATGTGAGGTGAGTATCTTTATTCATTCAGCAAATACGCAGTAAGGGTCAGCTACCTGCTGGGAGACGGAAGTCCCTGCCACCGGCAGAGGGGAGCACAGACAGTAAGCAAGCATATAAGTACCCACCTAGAGAGTTGAAAGGGTGTTGCAGTGGCCAGTCAGCTAGCTGCCTGGGGAGGCTCTCAGAGCAGGGGCTAAACGAGGTGTGAGAACCGGTCACGTGACCATTGCAGGAAGCGCTAACAGCAGAGGCAGAGGGTGAAGTGGAGCGTGCTGGGACTGCTCTGCAAAGAGCAGGAGACCTTGGACAGGGTAAGTGGAGGCTGTGAATCAAGTCACGGTAGAGGCACGGAGAAACGTAAAGGAATTGTGTTCTGCTAGGCAACGGAACCGCAGCTGGGGTCCTGACTGCTGTGCAGGCTGAGGCAGTGTTTACTTGATCCCAGGAATTCAGGAACTAGACTAGACAACGCAGCAAGACCCTGTCTTAAAAATAAATTGTTCAGGGGCTGGGAAGATGGCTCAGCAGTTAAGAGCAATTGTCGCTCTTGTAGAGGACCAGCGTTTAATTTCCACCACCCACGTGATGGCTCACAACCATCAGTAATTCCAGTTGCAGAGGATCCAGCGCCCTCTTCTGGCCTCCATGGGTACCAAGCATGCACAGGGTGCACCGACAAACATATCAAGAAGAGTAAACAAAGTAAATAAATTCTTTACATTTTTAAGGAAACAAGCTTTGGAAGAAGGAAGTTTTCACTGTAAGAGACAAGGGAGCCTCCGGAAGGGCTGACAGGTGTTTAACTGGACCCTTCTGGCTTATTCCATGGCTGTGCTGAGGATAGGAGATCAGTTGGGATGTCGCTCAGTGATCCAAGAAGAAAGAGCAAGGCTTGGAACAGAGAGATGGTACAGTAGCCAGGGTCAGGATATAGTATTCTGAATGTGGGACCAATGGAATTGATAGGCAATTACGACCGGTGGTTCCTTCCTAATGCTGCGACCCTTTAATCCAGCTCCTTGTGTTGTGGTGACCCCCAACCATAAAGTTATTTTTGTTGCTACTTTGTTACTCTAAGTTTGCTACTGTTATGAATCGTAAAACAAGTACCTGATATGCCGATGGTCTTAGGTGATCCCTGTGAAAGATCGACCAGTTGAGAACGGCTAAATTAGACTCAGGTGTGAAAGAAGGAGGCCTCGCCCAGCAATTTCAGCTCTCACAAACCTGAGAGTGAAGTCCAACCCAGAAAGGGCTGGTTTGGGGCTAGTTAGCGTTCAGGTTAGACATAAACCTGAAAATACCTGTAACACCCAAATGACAGCCACGTGACGATCAAGTTAGCAGCCAGCTGGGTATGGCTGCATTCAGGAATGATCAGGCTGGGTATGGATGAGCACCCATGCCCGGAAGGCAGAGGTGCTGGCTAGAAATCCTGGGAGGGAGGGAAGGAGAGGAAAGAAGCAGCGTGGACACCTGAGCCCTGGAGCTTTGTGGAGAGAGATGGAGACAGCAGGAAGTCGTTTCGAGCCAGGCCGTGAAGGCTTTGCACAGGCCAGCTCTGCATGGCTGTTTAGCGGGAGCTGGGCATCCGTGCCTCTCAAGTCTTGTCTCTGTTCATTATTTAAAAGTTTGACTTCAAGCCGGGCCATGGTGGCACACGCCTCTAATCCCAGCACTGGGGAGGCAGAGACAGGTGGATCTCTGTGAGTTCGAGGCCAGCCTGGTTCAGGACAGCTAAGGTTACACAAAGAAACCCTATCTCAATAATAATAATAAAATAATAATAATAACTGGCTGTTGCCTTTAAGTGCCTTTTCATATAATTCATATATAATTATACTTACACTGCTTAACTCTACCTAAAATGGTTAAGATGGCAAATTTTCTAGTATGCTTTTTATATCAGTAAGTCACTTTATCACCTTAAATTCTATGAGTAAGCTACAAATACAATAAGACTTAGCTAATTTTCAAAACCAAGAAGTCACTATATAGTGTGTGTATAGTGTCATGCCTATGTACAATTAACCCCCTGCCTTTTTTTTAACCAGCAATGCAATTGGTCCCCTCGTGGCTTTGTGGCTGATCTATGAACAAGGTGGAGTTATGCAAGAAGCTGCTACCCCAGTCTGGCTGCTGTTTTATGGAGGAGTCGGGATTTGCACAGGTCTCTGGGTTTGGGGGAGAAGAGTGATCCAGACCATGGGAAAGGACCTCACTCCCATCACACCTTCCAGGTGAGGCACGGAGGTCTGCAGAGACAGGGCTTCCAGGTGGGGCTCGCTGCAGAAGCTGAGTCAACATGTCAGGGCTTTCTTGCCTTAGTTAGCATTTCTATTGCTGTGAAGAGACACCATGGCCACAGCAACTCTTATAAAGGAAAACATTTAATTGGGGTGGAGGCTGACAGTTTCAGGAGTTTAATCCATTATCATCAAGGTGGGGAGCATGGCGGCATGCAGGCAGACATGGTACTGGCTACATCTTGATCAGAAGGCAACAGGAAGTGGACTATGACACTAGGAGAAGCTTGAGCATAGGAGACCTCAAAGCCCACCTCCACAAGGAGCACCTACTCTAACAAAGCCACAGCTTTGTGCCATTCCCTACGAGCTTATGGGGGCCAATTACATTCAAACTACCACATTTCTCGTGCTATTGTTCTGTAGCGATTGTCACGGGGAGAAAGAGCAGAGGGATCCTCACTACCTCAGCCTCCACCAGTCAGCCCCTTCGTCACCATTGCCCCCTGCTGCCATCTACACAGGCACCAGGATGGAGGTGGGAAGACACTGAGACAGAAGCAGGGAAACTCAGAGACAGCTACAGTTCCTTATCTAGCCTGTTGTTCTAACACAATGTGAGGGCCGGAGGACATGGGCAAAACCAAACCCCAGTGCAGACTGGAGCCCAAGGCCTTCCTCCAGAACTCCTCAGCCACGCCCAGTCTCCTACTCTAGGGCCCATCTGGTACCCTTTCTGTTGCCAGTATAAAACCCCCGAGGTAAGCAGTGTCTAAGGAGGAAGGGTTCACTGTGGCTCACACTTGCACAGCTCTTGGTCCGTTTCCGTTTGTCCTCGTTCTTCAGGAGCACAGAGCAGTGCACACCATGGTGGGAGCCCGTGCCACAGGAAAAAAACCAGGAAGCAAACACAAACATCAGAAAGGCCGGAGTCCTACACCCCTCAGGGATATGCCCCAGTGACCCAGACACCCCCTTATATCACCTCCCAATAGCATCACCCTAGGGACCAAGCCTTTGACATAATGGGCCTTTGGGGCACATAAACTCCAAAACATGGCACCTGCCTCTCCCCCAAATTTTCAAGCCCAGAGATCTCTCCTGACATCCTCCAGGATTTGGGGGTGTGTACCTCTGCTGTGCAGCCTGTGGTTAAATAACAGGTCTCGGCTTACGGAGTACAGCCAAAGTTCAGAACTATCTGCTGTCGGGAAACTTTTTTCTCTGTGTTTCTTTTTAAAACATATTAGGGGTTTCTGTTTGCTTTTGTTTCTAATTTTCAGTTCCCCATCCTTAAGATTCATTTTAACGAAAGATTGTTTTAGAAGACCGAATTGAAGAAAAATCGGTCATCTGAAGATTGCTTTTTTGTAATAAGTTCACACTTTCAAGATGAGAACCTAGTTTTTTTTCCGTGCCCCTTTAGGAACAAGCAATTTATCGTCCTCCTGCACAGCAGGAATTTCTGACCCAGTTCCACACTTCAGGTTGGAAAACATGTTAGGAAAACAAGGTCATTGGATGTCAGCTGCATAGCCCAGTGCCCCGCTGAGAGCAACAGTGTCTTGTTCTCCTAATGGTCATCTGGCTCAGGCAGCAGTCCTGCCCAGCTTACAGAATGTTCTGGCAAGCCTTCTGCAGCCACGGGGTGTCGGCAAGGCCACACAAAGAGCTCCTGTGACGTTGTCTTCCTGTTGCCCCCACAGTGGCTTCACTATTGAGCTGGCCTCTGCCTTCACTGTGGTGATTGCCTCCAACATCGGGCTTCCCGTCAGCACCACACACTGCAAGGTAGGTCCATGCCAGCCAGAGACTGCCATTCGGAGGGGTGGCATGTCAGTCCAGCGGCTCCAAGCGGATCTGAAAAAGGTCACTAGACTCTGCACAGTTGCTGTGGGACTGCCAGGACATTGTTGACCAGCGAGGAGGAGGAGGAAGCAGGGGTGATTGTTTCCCTAGAATGCCCGCGCCCCTCCTAACCCTTCCTGATCCCCAGTAGGACACCTGTTGAGGCTTTGCTTTCTCAGCACCAGTGGGAGAGCTTCCGTTTGCCCTGGGCCCCTTACCGTCCCCCCCAGATTGCCTTCTGCCGTCACGTGTGCACCACGCATGTCCGCAGGTTCACCTGGGATGTACCATGCAGTTCCTGCCACTGCACAGAATTGATTTTAGCAGAAACAGAAGTAAACGGAAATTATTTCAGGGCAGTTCTAAGATGTGGCTACTTCTGTGTTCCCCCTTGAGAGTGACTCTGTTGCCTCAGAGTCGATTCCAAGCGAGGGGCAGGAGGTAGTGCCTGGGCCTCTGTGGTGTTTGTCCTGTTACTCACAGCTGACAGCTGAGAAAATTCGGGCTCTCAGGATTGACCCACTTTGCGAAGGCCCTACAGCTTGGATACACAGTAGGACCAGGGATCAGATCTTCACCTAGTGCTCTGTTCCTCCTAATTGTGGCCAATTAGTAAACATCACCATGACAACCAATTTGACTCCAGTGTATCAGACAGATGCCCACTGGGCACTGTTGGAAGTGCAGTGTGAATGCTGACTCATTTGCTCAGGAGGAGAACACTAGCAACTCCCCAGTCTTACAGATAGGGTTGAGAAGCCTTTCCCACCCAGGGGCTGGCATGGCACCCTGCATCCCTAGTACAAGGGAGGAAGGCAAAGAAAGCTTGGCACACCCACCACTTGGCATCTGGGTTGCTCCATTTTGGTTGTTTTTGAAATGATGAAAAGACCCAGGAGGTGGTGATGTGCCCCTTTAATCCTAGCACTCAGGAGGGAGAGGCAGGTGAATCTCTGTAAGTGTGAGTTTGAGGCCAGCCTGGTCTACAGAGTGAGTTTCAGGACAGGCTCCCAAGCTATACAGAGAAACCCTATCTCGAAAAAACAAAATAAATAAATAAATAAACATACACGCATGCATAGATAAATTGATAATAAATAAATAAACAAACATACACACATGAATAGATAAATTGATAAAAGGGTCTTGGGAAGCAGCTTAATGACAGAGTATGTACCTAGCTCAACAGAGGCCTTGTGTTTGGCAAAAAAAGAAAATAAAAGTTATCAAAGAAGCATGGGTTCAATGAAATACTTCAGACAACACAAAGATGTGTAGACTATGAAAAGTGACCATCTCCCCGTTCATCACTCCATGTAGCTCTCTGTGCTGTTCGGGATTGAGAAAGCACCCTAAATTATATGCTCTCCTGAGGAGGCAAAGCACTTAGCTCTTCACTTTTCTATTGCATTTATTCATTCATTCATTTAGCGCATGCATGCGTGTATGCACAAGTGTGCACGTGTGTGTACGTACACGCACAACATTCAGTGGAGATCACAGGACAACTGCCAGGGTTCTGTTCTCCCCTTCCATCATGTCGGCCTCAGGGATCGAGCTCACTTTGTCAGTCTTAGTGGCAAGCACCTTTACCCACTGAGCCGTCTTAGCTGCCCACTTTTTACCGTTACGTAGGCATAAATAGTCACAGCTGCCTGACTTTTCTAGATGTTGTAATGTTATGCCCAGATCCGCAGAGTCCTCCAAAAACCAACAAGGAGACCGAGTCCCGTATGTAAAAACAAAGAGCCTTCATTCTACACAAGTTTGCAAATTCGGTCTCTGTGTGTCCAATATATTAGATTAATTGGAGAGCCCGAGCTCAGTTAGAGTTGGGTTTTATAGTAACAAAGGTGGGGGCGAGGGATTTCTAAGGTTCAAGACTCCAGATTGGCTGACATTTGTCTAGGGGTGTCCTGGTGATGAGTCCCCATGTGCCATGGTATGTGCACACCCACACACATGTAATATAAGTAAATAAAGAAATGGAATTTTAAGAATTTTAAGGAATGTCTATGGAGAAGGACCCAAGCATACGCTGCAGGTTCGGGAAGATCGGGGGAACTGTGATGGAGAAGGGTACAGTTATATTCCTCCACTGCTGCCCATTGGGACTTTACAGAGCATAAATTATGAAAGTATAAAATGATCTCCCTAGAGAACTAGTGTGAAGGGCTCGGGGGACATGACGCTCATCACGACAGACACCCGAGAGGTCAGTGTTTGTGAAGCCTCTCCTGGTGTTTCGCCTTTGACTGTGATGCTTCTGCCTCGACAGGTGGGCTCCGTGGTGGCCGTGGGCTGGATACGCTCGCGGAAGGCTGTGGACTGGCACCTCTTCCGGAACATCTTTGTGGCCTGGTTCGTGACTGTCCCCGTGGCCGGATTATTCAGTGCTGCTATCATGGCTATCTTCATGTACGGGATCCTCCTGTCATAGGCATGGTCTGTAAATGGCTCTAGGGATAGTCTAACACGGGCCTCCGTAGCCGCACCTCTCCCCTCCCCTCCCACACACCTTGCAGATGGCGTCATCATGCCACACACTGCTTACCCAGGCCACAGACGTTCATCCTCCAGTTAGCCTAACTCCTGTACATAGTAGTATGTATCAGACTGGTATTGTGACGACACACTGTGGTGCAGTTACTTATATTAAATATACATCGTGTACCTAGGATATCTAGCATTGATTTTAAACAAACTCAGAATGAAAGTGGAAGAGTATTGCCTCAAGTGCAGTATTCTGTTAACTGTATATAATGATTTCAGCGGTGGCAAGTGTTAAAAACGTTTAAAAGTGTAGGCTATAAAAATCCTTTTTTAAAAATACTGTAATATGCCGGGCGGTGGTGGCGCACGCCTTTAATCCCAGCACTCGGGAGGCAGAGGCAGGCGGATCTCTGTGAGTTCGAGACCAGCCTGGTCTACAGAGCTAGTTCCAGGACAGGCTCCAAAGCCACAGAGAAACCCTGTCTCGAAAAACCAAAAAAAAAAAAAAAAAAAAAAAAAATACTGTAATATAAGTGAGATGCAGTATACTTAATACAAACTTGGGCAAGTTCTCAGGCCCTTGTGTGATTGCATCATGCTGGGACAGGTGTTCACAAGTGCTTCCTCTGAAGAATGCGTTCAGAAGCTGTGTATGAGTTACTGTGTAATGTATCACTAGCGCTTTTGTAAATACTTCAACTGTGATTTTAATGGTCTGCTTCCCTTACACTTTACTGATTGGAGAATTTTGGAAAGTACCAAAGAAACAGGGGATAAATTGCCAGTATTATATCTTCATGTTGTTTGTTTCCTTCCCACTGGCCACTGAAGGGATCCTGGTCCATCAGCAGGCAAGCTCCTCGCCAGGGGAGCGTGTGTGGTTGGAAGCACCAGCCGCCCACCAGCAGAAGCCACACCGCTGCCATACCAGGCCCTGGCGAGCTTGTTCAGTGGCCTTTCACTGTCACCAGCGTGGACAACACACAGCAATGGGGGTGTACAATTAAACACTACATACATATCAAGTCCAGTCCCAGTGTCCCTCCCTGTTCCGCCCTGCAGCCTGAAATGCGGAGTTCTTGTCGCAAACAGTAAGGCCAGCGAGGCTTCTGATGTGCCTGGATGCTGTAAATCTCAGGGCTGAGCGGGGAATACTAGGAGGGACACTGGGCTGGGGGACCCATGAGGCCTTTTTATGTAGAGCATCTGAGGTCGTCCTGTAGAACCGCTGTTGTCTTCTGACAGCGAGAGACAGTATGACTGAAACCATGGAAATGCTGCTAATATTTTTATATTGACATACATTTTCACGGTACTTCATTGTAATTTTTTCATTAATCAACCATATTAAATTTATAATAAAAAAGTGCCCCTCAAAAGTTTGCTTCTGAGTCTTTTTTTTTTTCTTTCAGAGTTTCCACAAAAATCAAAACTACAGTCTGGCCACTTATGGTTTTCAAATACTTGTTGAACTTTACATCTTCCTATTCTGTGTTTGTACAGAACCAATACACAAAACTCGAAAGGGAAAGAACAGCCCACACCCGTCTGCAGGCATCCCCACTGTGAACATGTTCACCCACCCCACTGTGATGTAACAGTGGTAGACGGGAGCTCACCTGCTTGGCTCCTCATTTCTGCAGGCTCCCACTGGGAACCCAGTCTCCCTCCCCTTCAAGCTGGGAAGCTCAGGGTGCAACCTCTCATGTCCCGCACTGTGGCAGCAGTGGCACCACCTAAGAGCTGGATGGGGACCAGCTGAGCGCCACCCTCCAGGTGTGACAGTCTCGTCTTCACCACCACATCTGAAATACTCTCCCTGTAAGATGGCACCTTGTGCCCCGCCTTTGATGGTCTCAAGAGACTCAGTGTCCTATCACATTTATCGGTGAGAAAATAACAGCAAAGTGTAAGCACACACTGCACAGGCTGGACAGCCTGCGGTCCCTGCCCTGGAAGGGCCACCTGGATGTCAAGAAACCCTAGCAGGCAAACGGCAGGGCTGAATCCCAGGAGAGGAAGCGGGTGGGATGTCATGACTCCCTAGCAAGGTGAAAGAAGTTTCTCCCAGGAACTCTCCCCAAGTCTGTTATCTGACAGAGACTTTATATGCCAGGGGAGTGGAAAGACCCACTCCAACCGACTTCAACCTTACAGCCATTGTCCAAGAGAGGCTCCTGCGTGTGCTGGACAGTCAGGCCACACATGGGTTATTACTGCTCTCTGCTCCTGGAGAGGGTGTCACCAGGTCCCTGAGGGAAGGAATGCTGAGTCTTCCAGAAAAGGGAACTCCTAAGTCCCTGACAAACTTCCCATGCAGAGGAAAGCTGCCTGGGGGACAAGAAAGCCATGCTCCTAGGAAGGACATCATCCCTCACACTTCTGTCTTTCCTTTTCCCTTTCCTGAGAGCCTGGACTTGGAAGTATCTAAACACATTCGTATTAATTTTCAACAGGTAACTTTTAAGTAAGTCCTTCCCCCTCTTGGTCTTAAGTGAGAGTTCTCGAGCAACAGCAGCCACAGCAAAGTCCATCCCGTAGATAGGACGGGGTGACACGCACTTTTGATTCCTACTCAGGAGGCAGAGGCAGGGAGATCTCTGCAAGTGTCAGGCCAGCACACCCTACAGAGCAAGAGGCCAGATGAGGGATCACGACTGTCCTTCCTTAGGATTTAAAGTATCGTGTGAAATATGCATGCTGGTGCTTTGTTGGGGCCTCTTAAGAGAAAACTACTTCTAGGTCAAAAGAACAGAACTGAGTTCCCCCTCTGATCTGCTCCCAAATATCACCTGCTGTTGTCTCCACCTACGAGTTAAACAAGCTGCACCTGCCAATCACCTGGCCAAGGGACGACCTCCTCCCAGGAAAGCTGACTTTCCCTCCGTGAGATGATCTGCCTCTCAGAAGGCTCCTAATGCGGTTACTTACAGATCTTCACGAGTAAGCCTTGCCATTTCTCTGAGTTCTAACTCAAAACATCTTTTTCAGGTGCCAGCTAAAGGCCTAATGAAATGGTTTACAAGCTTCCTTCTCAACCTATTTTAAAATTATTTTACTAAGAGTCTGAGAACCCATAAAAGAGAAGCCCAATTTCTCTGGTAACATTACTACACCAGTGCACTGGGTTATAACAAGGCTGGGAACTAAGACAACAAGAATATGATGGGAACTACTTTTTCCTCGGTGTTCTTGTAACCTAAAACTACTAAAAAATAAACAGAGCAGGAGCTAGAGAAAAGGCTCAGCTAAGAGTCCTTACTGCTCCATCAGAGGACCAGGGGCTACATCCAGCGCCTGCATTAGGCTCCACGGGATGCGATGTCCTTCTGGTTTCCAGACAATTGAGCGCACGTGCACACACACAAATAACTAAACCTTTAAAAAGTAAAGTCTGTTTTGTTTTTAAGACCTTCATAACAAAGATAAAAATTTAGCTGGATCCAGGCAAAGTGACCGCTAGCCTAGAGTACAATAGAGAACTCTAGGACTCTGCAGAGACCCTGTTTTTTTTAAAAAAAAAAAATGTGGCTGTGGTGGTGGCACACACCTTTAATCCCAGAGCTTGGGAGGCAGTGGCAGACCAACCATGTCTACACAGAGGCTCCAGGCCAGCCACAGGGACACAGGAAGACATGGGAAGGAAAGCACTGCAGGGTGGCCTGGGAATAAAACTACAGGTTTAAGAACTTGGAAATGAAGTGCAAGCAAAGGGTGGCTGGCCCTGTAAGCCTCTAGAAGGGAGCACGGGAGAGTAAATGAGGCTAAGAAACGTGTTTCAAACAGAATGAAGGTGACCCAGAGCTCTTGCTGGGGACTGAAACCTAGTTGAAACAGCAAAAAGAATTTTGCCTGGGGTAGGATGGAGAACTCGTCTTTCCCAATTTGCCATGTTTTAACCAAACCCTGAACTCAAAAATTTTGAACTACTAGGAGTAGCTGAAGGGGTGAGGAGATCCGAGAAAATGAACCGAATACCCCCAAAGGACTAGGAAAGCGGTGTGTATCTTACGTTGGTACCACAGCGGCACCTAGCGGGGTTAAGTGTACTTGCAATTACAACATCTTTTCCCACCCTTGGGCTGCATCAGGGAAATCACTTAAGAAAATGATGTTAATTCTGTCATAGTTCAGAGTTGCAAGCAATGCCAGAAATTATCTTTGTGTCTTTGACGATCACAGAGGACTGTGGGTGCTTTTAGAAAAGCTCCTTCCTGAGACACCAAACCAAATAACAGCTTTAGTTACCTGTAAGCTAACATCCGGGACGATCAAGTGCCAGTGAATGACTCGGCCACCGAAGGCAGAAAGACAAAGCTCTTGAGAGACCCAGAGGCTTTAGGAAGAACATGTAAGGTGATTTTCGTCCAGGCAGGAGCTCTGGGGACAAGCTGACCGGTGGGTAGGTGAGGTCGAAGTTTGCAAAGGGTAGAGATGTGACCCAAACACCGAGCACTACATGGATATGGAAGAAAAGGAGTAGGTTTGGGAAATGGTAGCCATCAGCGCCTGCTCAATATCCACGGAGAGAATTCTGCCAGGCACTTTGGTCTGGAGAGTTCGAGTGGAGTTCTTAGGTAAACTAAGATGAACACGGAGCCTCACAATCCATCTGTAACCTCAGTTCCAGGGGATTGGCCTCTATGAGCACCAGGCATGCATGTAGTGCAGACATGTGCAGGTAAAACACCCATACACATGAAATACTTAAAAAATGATCACACCAATGAGAAAGCTTGCATGCGACCTTTGTGCGTCCCTGATGACCCCTCGAGGTACACTCCTAAGTGGAAGTACCGAACCAAAGAGCCACTGCAGATAAATACACTTACAAGGGGGGGCTTTCTGCTCCCAGGTGCCAGACTCAGGCTGTGCTGAAATCTAGCATAAGTCATCTTGAGAGCGAGGCACAAAGGAAACCTGCTAACCCTGGCCATGTCCTGAATAAATCACTAAACACAAAGTTGCACTGCTGTGCTGTGAAGGCAAGGAGAGAAGGCATTAGGTGGCTGTAAACAGCACCCAAGAGCCCGAGCCTGCACCAGACCAGCTGCTCTGCCTGGGATGCCTCTCCTGGCTCCCAGGGTGCCTCTCCTGGCTCTTCTTTCCGACTTGACTCCAAGGCAGTCACAGTTCTCACTGCGGGGTTTAAATGGGTCACTTCATACAACTGACCAGCAAGGTGCGAGTATATGAACCATGTGCTTCCTGGCTGCACAGCTGTGATGCGGGACTGCTGCTGCGCATACAGCCCAGCCACCCACAATGCCACAGAATCACCGCAGAAAGAATACGAATCTAGATTACCTTATCAATATCTAGAATATGGCTTCTTGGCTCTGCACTATCAATAATTTAAGAGAAACAACATAAAGGAAAAATGCAAATATGCAGAAACTGCCTTCTCTACTTAAATTGAGGGCATGAATGCAACCAACTTGAACAG